GATGTAAGACTTCAAATCTTGGTCTCCAATACTGTAGTGCCCACCTGTAGCTAAGGTAGACAACCAGCTATTGTTCTAAAATACTGGATAAATTTGTTTTCTCCCCTTATTTAGAAACCTTTGAGAGAGAACTGACTGATTCTAACTACTCCATCAGCTATAAAAATGCCTGAAAGCAAATCCTGAATCCATCACTCTAGAGTCCAGCCTTGGAAGACAAAAGAAAAATGAGGAAGAACCCAATAGAGGGATGCTTTTGGAAGCCCTTGTCAAGAAATTCCAATGGACTCGCATATGAACATTTGAGAACTGCCCTGTTCTTTCTTTTAGTTCCCTGCCTAGAACTTGTAATGCTAATTACTCTTGTCTTTACTTCTCCTTCACATCTCCTATTCATGATTCAAGGACTTTGTTTTCTCCTTAGAGATAAGAGTTATGCAATTTGGGAGTTTTTTAGATAGACCCACTGAAGGGGTACTCCAATTGCCTCACTCTGCGTCCCTGTACAGCATGGAAGAAGCCAGAGCAGCTGGTGTCCCTATTCCCTACTGGCAATTTGGGTAACCCCTTCAGAGGATGGCGTGATAAGAATAAGAGGTAGGAATTGGCTAGGCAGTTAGGGTAAAAAGACCCCAAAGAAAAATAGCCAGTTTCTGGGCTAAATAATATCCTTGGGCCTCTTAGCCCAAAGGCCAAAAATGTTGAAAATATTTGGGAGCTTATATCTAATCCTTAAAAGATTTTAGGGTTACCTCTTCAGAGGGGAGAATGTTAGAGTACTCAAAAGCCCAATAAAAGTAAATAAATGAAAGAAGGAAAAACAAGAAAAAGTGATGGGGAGATATGGGAGGTGTTGGAAGAGAGGGAGTGGGCATGGATTTGATCAAAATTCCTTATATGCACTATGAAATTCTCAATAAAGTTTTTGTAAAAATCAAAAAAAAAAAAGAATAGGAGGTAGGAATTGCCTAGGCAGTTAGGGTAAAAAGACCCCAAAGAAAAGTAGCCAGTTTCTTGGCTAAAAGTCAAAATGTCCTTAGGCCGTTTAGCAACATACTATGTTCTAAATACCAAAAATGTCAAAGGTATTTAGGAGCTCTTATCTAATCCCTAGGGT